TTTTTCAAGAAATGGAAGGGAGTCACTGTGTTCTTTTGATGGAGACATATATCCTGGTTTATTCAGATCTGAGGCTCTTCTTCTACTTCTAGCCATTGGAAGATGTATTCACTCTGAAATACCTTTTAGGAGAATGTTTCTTCGACTAGGAGCAAGTGTGTTTCCCTTTTGCTGTGAACTGAAGACTGCCAACATCGCTCTTCTGTTGTGTTTAGCAATGTGGTTTGAGGAGGAGTATTCTATTGAGTCTGAAGAGAAGTATCTCCTTTTTCACAGGTGGCTCAGTAAAAGGGAGGATCTCAGAGATTCTTAAAATACTAGAATATTTCAGAAATATGATTCTAGACCTATCTAGACTGTCTGGGAGGGCAGAGATAGAGGAAGAGAGGACCAAATACAAACATGCCAAAAGTTACATGCAGTTTTAAGGGAGTTTTGAATTTCTTTGTGCTATTCATGAACCCCAAGTAAAGAGTTTGTGCTGTAGTCTACAGATACTGTAAAGTCTAACACTCTTTACAGAAATGAAAACAGATTAAAGTGTTTGTGGGTTATTTTTTAAAATAGATTATTTACTGTTTAAGGTTTCTTTGGTGTGCTTCTTAGTGACTCAAAGAAAAAAGTCTTCATAGTGAAACCTATAATCTTTTATCTGTTGGGATATCAGGTTTCATTTAAAGGATAATTTCAAAAAAGTTCTAAATAAGGCAAGAGAGCATGGAAATATTATCAAACTAAAAAATATCTCAACTGGCCCTAGATTACAATATTAAAGGTGTCTGGGCCATTGTCAGTCTTTGTTGCCACTATCTGGTCCCAGTAAGGACTCTTCATTGGTTAGCTCCTGCACACTCATGCATTTGCTTGTGTGTAAGTTAAGAGCTGGAACAAGACTGCAAAGTGTCAGGCCTTTACTGAGATGAAATTAACTTCTCTCTCTTACAGCAATCCAGAGCTGGTGGGGTAGCTCTGCATCTTGGGAGTTGCACATGGTGAATGACAGATTGTTTTCAGATACTTCTGAAAGTGATAATTAGGTATACCATGCCACCAGACCCTTTTGGGTATTTAGAAATTAAAGAAATGTTTCAGCTAGAAATATTGATACAATGTCATCTACTAGGTGATCATGAAAGTCATGATGCATTTTTGCATTGAAAATAAGTCATGACTTTCCCAACCACCCAATAGCTTGCAACCAATATGTAATTAAAATATTTTTAGGGTAAATATGGTTTAGTTGATGAAAAATTCCCATTAATTTACTTTTATATCAGATTTTTCACTCCTTCAGAAGTGAAGTCTCAACATTGGAAGTCTCAACATTGAAGTCTCAACCCCTCAGGATTTAGAATGTGGCCTTACTTGGAGATAGGATTATTGCAGATGTGCTCATGTTCTAATGGGCATCCATCTTCTCAGGATTTGGGGCATGCACACACATGTGTCTAGTGTGTTTTTCAAGCTATGGGGATCTTGATTTGGACCATACAGTTGGCTGTGTGGGATCTGGCTCCCTTAACCACTAGGCCACAGAGCTGGTCCAATTTCTGTTTAAGTCACCCAGCTTGTGGTACTTTGTTATGTTAGTCCTAGGAAACTGATAACATGCATAAGCTTAGTTTGTCTACAAAGTAAGATTATAGAAATTTGACCTGTTTTCACTAGAAGATTTCAGTAGGAAATTTATTCAATAGGAAATCAAATCTTTATACCTTCATCCTCTGCCTTCTCTTGACAAATGTTGCAGGGTAGTGGATTGATGAAAATGAATTTTGCATTTCTTCTTAGGTATTAGTCCTAAAAGGTATCTTTTATCTGAGGTTTAAAAATCCTACCCCAGGGGACCAGCAGTTAGCATCTCTCTTCTGTTGTGTTATGCAGTTAGCGTAATGACTATGTCGCTGGACTCCCATGTAGTTGACCGCAGTTCAAGTCCCAGACCCGGTGGCTTAAAACTCACGCCGGGCATGTGTGCATGCTTGCCCAAGATCCTGAGAGGAGAATGGAGGAGAAGGCATTGCAGCATGGCCATCCCCACTGGGGGGTGATTTCTCGCTTTCTGTCTCTCTGTGTCTCTCTCTGTCTGTCTGGCGAGTGCACGCACCCTATAGCAAAAACCTCTCCAAAAAAAAAAATCCTACCCCTTTGGGACTAGCAGATGGTCTAATTGTTATGTTGCTGGACTATCACATAGTCAACCACAATTCAAGTCCCAAACCCAGCTTGAAACTTACGCCGGACAGATGCACGTGTGCTCAAAATTCTAAGAAGAGAAGGAAGAGAAGGGATTACAGTGTGGCCAAATTCCATGGAGAGTGATTTCTTACTTTCTATCTCTGTCTCTGTTTCTCTGGCAAGCACATGTGCCCTATTGCAAAAATCTCTCTTTAAAAAAAAAAAAATCTTACCCCTTCTGTAACTCTAAAATTACTTTAAAATAAAAAAATTTTTAAATCCAACAATGTTGACTAATAATAGATGTAATTCCTCAATTATACTTGAAAATATTTAGTAAGATTATTAAATTAAGTTTAACGGTCTACAGTTAAGAAGAAAAATGGAAAGTTACACAACTTGATGCTAAAAGGATGGAAATATCTAGAAAAATAAGTAGTCGAGATTGCCTATAGAGGAGACTATTTCTGACAGAGTGGTATATACCAAAATTTAAATACTAAAATAGTTAAACATAGCTTGTACAAATCACTAAAACTCCCTGGACCAAGGTTTACTTATCTGTATAACATAATGGTTGCATCAGATCATCTTTATGGTCCTTTTCTCCATGAAATTTTTTTTTTTTAAGAGAATTTTTGCTTTAGGGCATGTGTGCTCCCTGGAGATACAGATAAAGAGATAGCGAGACAGAAAATGAGAAATCACTTCTGAGGAAGGATGACCAAGCCTCAGTCCCTTCTCCTTCATTCTCCTGTTAGAATTCTGGGCATGCATGCACACGCACTCTGTATGAGTTTTAAGCTGCTAGGTCTGGGACTTGAACTATGGTTGAGCACTTGGTAGTCCAGTGCCTTAACCATTACATCACCTGCTGGCCCATCCTCCATGATTCTTTTATGATTCTAGAATTTGGGTACCAGGAAAAGCTACAAGAAAACTGTGTCATTTACAAAGTAAGCTGTACTTGATTGTAAATCGGCTTTTCACAGGTTTACCGTAGCAATGCTGTTGCACATACGAGGACTGGCTTTGTCCTTTAATAGCTTTTCTGAAGAAATAGTAGAAAGATATTGGAGAAAATGTTCCATTTAAGGGTGGTGTGTGGGTACCTATATGGAAAAAATGAGCCCTAACTCCTACCATGTACTGTCTACAAAACTAGAGCTGTATCATTGGCCTAAGTGTAAAAGCTAAACCCAGAAAGCTTTGAAAAGGAAATATAGGAGAGTATTTGCATGATACAGGAGTAGGCAAAGATTTCTTAAACATAATTTGGAAAATATTCATAAAATAATCATAAAAGAAAACATTGAATAATTTAGACTTCATCAAAATTAAAACTTCAGTTCTCTGAAAGCAATCATTAGGATAATGAAGAGGCAAAATGTGGGAGAAAATATTCACAAAATATGGACAGCCAGTACAACTGATTTGGGAAAGGTCTCAGTTTCTTAGAAAACTAAGTATACATCTACCCTATGACCCCAAAATTCAATTCTTACGTATTTATTTGAGAGAAACAAAAATATATGTGTGCCAAGTGACTTGTACGAGAGTGTCCATAGCTGCTTTATTTATACCAGTTCACAACGGAAACTAGTCTAGATAGCCATCAGTAGGAGAGTAAATAAATTGTGGAATAATATTCAGTTATAAAAATTTTTTATGAAGTATAATTACATGTAACAATCTTGATTAATCTCTAAAACATTGTGCTGAGTGGAAAAAAAAATGCCTTACACAAGGGAGTACACTGTGTCTGTTTCCATTCATATGAAGTCCTAGAACAGACAGAACTAATCATGGTGGAAGGAAAGGACAGAAGTTACTGCTAGAGGTTGGGGCAGGGATTAAGTAGGAAGGGGCTCCTGAGAATTTCCTGGGCTGCATTCATATTTGATGTTTTGATCAGCATTTGATTACATTTGTGTGATTATATTTGCCAAAACCTTTAAGGTCTTTGTGCAATTCATTGCATGCAAACTTTACCTCAAAGAAAAAAATACAAACAGATATTGAACTCTAGTTAATGATCTAACTGCCAAAGAATTTGGGAGGAAGTGTGCTGAGCCTACAGGTTATACTTGAATGCATCAAAAAAAATGAGATGGACTGATAGTGGGATAAATAGTAAAATAATAATGATAGTATCTGGGTGGTGGTAATGCAAGGTGTTCTTTGTCAGATTCTTTCCTTTTCTGGATGTTTCAAAAGGATGTAGCAAATGTGAAAGCAAGTTCATTAAATGATTTTCTTTCCACTAATTATTTTTATACTTTCTAGACTTGTTTTTCAGTTATAAAGTTTCCATTTAGATATCCATTTTCTTTTTTTCAGTAGTAATAACCATCAGGTGTGTGTTCTCTCTAGAACTGCAAATGAGAAGATTAAGCCGGGCGGACACTGATGCAGTCCTAGTTTTTGTGCTGACTGTTGGAGTCATTATCTGTGTATTTGTGATCTTTGTATTGATCTTCATCATTATAAATTGGTAGGTGAATGGCCAGAACGCATCATCATTCTTATCAGTATCCTCTTTGCCTGCCCCTTCCTCATCCAGTTAGTTGCAAAGCCATGTCTGTGATGTGCCTTACATGATCCAACTCCCCTTCTTCCCCTTGTGGTTACCCTAGTCAGGCTACCCTATCTTTCTCTCTCTCTCTCTCTCTCTCGCTTTAAATTCTGCGATAGGATGCATGCATTCACCAGAAAGAGAGACAGATGGAGAGGGCAGTGAAAAAACACCCCCATGGGGTGGGGATCACCATGCCATAATCCCTTTTCCATTCTCCTCTCAAAATTTTGGGTTTGCCCGCATATGCGCCCAGCATGTTTTTCAAGCTTCTCAGCCCAGGACTCAAACCATGCAGTTGACCACATGGGATCCAGCCACTTTAATCACTCTGCCATTGGCTAGCCCAAGGCTATCCCATCTCTCATGCTTTTTAAAACAATCTCATGACTTGTTTCCCATGAAAGAGATTTTAATTGTAATATTTACAATTTTAGGTGGTAATTGCTAAAACAAACAAACAAAAACCAAGTTTATTTAATGAACATTTGTGTTGTTCCTGTGTAGTTCTCATAACTCCAAAACTTGACTATTGTGACCTACTAATTCATTTAGATGAGGCTATTAATAACATCTGCATGAGTATTACACTGTGGTAAATCTGAGAGTTCATGTACTGTTGTAGAACAGCTGGCATTCCACAAACTGTCAATGATCTGTGAATAAAAAGTCCTTCTATTTAAAGAGAATGTTAATATAAATCTATTAGATTTTAGTTTTCACGTCATATTGTGTGTTTTGTTTCTTTTTGTTTCTTCCTCCAGGGCGACTGTCAAAGCTTTCTGGGGGGCGAAAGCCTCAACTACTGAGCTACATTCTGAACTGAGTTCTGTGAGATATAAAGATTCAACTTCTATTGACCAATCACCAACAGAAATACCTGGACATGAAGATGATGCTTTAAGCGAATGGAATGAATGATGTATGGATGATATATGACAAACCAAAGGATATTAGAGCATATCAGATTCATTATTATAAAAATAAAATATATAGTGAAATACTTTAGTAATGTTGCAATAGATTTACAACTGGCTGAAGGTAATATAGTGTGAGGGTAGGGCTGCTTGGGCTGTTTTATTCAGTGTGTGTTTACTTTTAACATGTTCTCAACATTTAAACATTTACCATTTCAGGTAACAGTTTGGAGACTTTTGTCTAGAGGCACACATGCAGGATCTTCTAAGCACATTTTTGACTACTTTGATCACTTGTGAGGTGATTTGACTGTTCTGTCCTAAGTAAGAAAAAATGTAATATAGAAGATGCTTTGAGCATTAGACTTTCTTTCCCCTGGGAGCACTGGTTTGAATTTGTTAAAGCAAATCACACTTTAGCATCTCTGCAGGGCATGTGACATATAAAGCTTTTAAGGCATGAAATAATGATAATGGTAAATGACCACCATTTCATCTGTTGACTACTATACACCAAGCATTGCTCATAGCATTTTATGTGTGTTTGGTAATTTAACTGTACATAGTAAATAAATAAGGAAGAATTGGAGAGGAACTTGGAAGTGGTCAAGGAAATGACATGAATTTAACATGCCCTGTATTTCTCACAGAAACAGTGAATTCAGTTAGGTAAGTGCCTTCATCATTTTTTGGTATACAGGTCATAACATCTTAGAACCAAGATACTTATTTTTGAACATCATCATTGCCTTTTTGTATTGTGTTCATTATGTGATACAGTTAAGACCAACTATCAAACAAGATACCAACACATGAGATAATTTGACTCATTAGACTTCATCAGGAATTAATTTTCTGAAGTTATGATAGTAGCACAAAATACATTTAATTTTGTTGAGATTAATTCTATGCCAACTTTATTGTCATTATTATGATAGTTAATGATACTATAACTCTTTGTACATATATACAAAAGACAGTATAAATGGATATTTACAGCATACCTCCCTTTTATAACTCAGAAATAGACTGTGCTGTGGAATTAGCTATGTTTTCTGTCATATAGCACTTTAATTTGAGAAAACAGTGAGGAATTGGCTGAAATGATTTTATTTATTGTAGGAATTCTGCAGGGAACTTCAAGTGAAAAGAAATTGTTTTCATAAAAATTTCCAAAAGAATTGGTTTTTGTGATTTCCCCTCCCACATCTCCAGATAAGTGTTTTCGGAATCAGCTTTCCAATTCTTCCTGAGTAGGTATAGTCACGTAACTTTAGTGTAGGTGCTGAACATTTTTGAATAGTTATTATTATACATCCTTGCTTTTAAAACCATGAACAGCAGTGGGTCCCAACTGTACTTCAGTGAATATTAGTGTTCAGTCAGGGTAAGAGGGTTAGTTGCTATTGATGCTGTTTACTGATTATTTCTGGCCATCTACCTTCCTAGGATAGTACTTCCTCAGCCTCTCGTTGGGGGAGAGAGGACATATGACTAGTTCTGGCTAAAGAGTTATAAGCCATAATTCCGCAGTTAGGCATCACTTTGGGGCTGTTATACTTCATTGTGAAAACATCCAGAACTCTATTTCTGCCATAGCAACCAGAAATGCTTAGATGCTGCCTGGTCTGATATCTTGGTTCTCCACGTGAGGACCATGTAGTACAGAATCTCCACTCAGCCACCATGGGTAGATAGCATGAGGGAGAAGGCGACCTTTGTATTTTAAGCCACTGAGGTTTAGAGGCTGTTTGATACCGCAGCCTTACTATTAATAAACACTGTCCTGATTGGCAAAAGACTCACATTATCTTTTCTGAGAAAATAAGTTTTCACAGTCAAATGAACTGAAGAATATTCTTTAGTTCAGAATTCCTGTGTACTTCGTATTTCTCCAAGAAGGAAGATCTAGGTGCAGTATTTCCCAAATTATTTGGCTGTTTCTGGAACAAAAATAAAACTATGCATAAGTGTTAATGCTGTGCCTACTTAGAAATGCACTTTTGAGCAGGACTGTGCTGGATAGATCTGCCCATGACTGGTCAGGGCTTGGTGCGCTAGTCTTGCATAATTTGTAACACAACAAATCACCAACACACTTGACAACAGTAGCACCTTTCCTTAGCTCTCTGAGTGTTGTTTAGACTTTTTATTGCTCCAGACCCACCTTGATGGCATTTCTTAAAATCATCCTACTGCCAAGTCCAAGGGCTCCTCTCTAAGTACTATGACCACAATGCATTAGGTAAAAATAATCTGCAAATCTTATTTGTAAAGCAGATTATAATACGCTCATATCTCCATGAACTCATTCCAGGTTTCTTGAAGACCTTACGTCATTTGCTGTTGATCATATCTGTGTGTTAAAGGATCTCTCATTGTCATGGTCCATAAGGTCTCCACTGGACTTTACTAAACATTAAGATGGCATTTCTTAAAATCATCCTACTGCCAAGTCCAAGGGCTCCTCTCTAAGTACTATGACCACAATGCATTAGGTAAAAATAATCTGCAAATCTTATTTGTAAAGCAGATTATAATACGCTCATATCTCCATGAACTCATTCCAGGTTTCTTGAAGACCTTACGTCATTTGCTGTTGATCATATCTGTGTGTTAAAGGATCTCTCATTGTCATGGTCCATAAGGTCTCCACTGGACTTTACTAAATATTAATTGGGCCAGTCACTTCCCTCTGCAGAAAGACTAGATCAGGAGAATCTTCTAGCCCTTATATTCTCCAAAATTAGTTTTATTGACATCAAAATCTGCTCAAGGCAAGTCTTAAAGTTTTTATCTGGATTCAGGAGGCAAATAAAGTTAAGCAATAATTGAAGAGAACTTTTTGGACACATTGTTTGGTGCCTGCATATACAGCATAGGAATATTGTGAAGTGTTCAGAGTAACACCCTAATCATCCAGAGAATACTTAATTCATCTGTTCATTCACCAAAAATTGACTCCGTTTTTTTTTCCTTTTTATTTAGAGAGATTTTTGCCACAGAGTGAATGCACTCACTAGAGAGGCAGAGAGACAGAAAATGAGAAATAACCCCCTCCACCCAGAGAAGATGCCATGCCACAATCCCTTCTCCTCCATTTTCCTCTTGGAATTTTGGGCACACACGCACATATGTCCAGCATGAGTGTAAGCTGCCCGGTCTGGTATTCAAACCACAGTTGACTACGTTAGAGTACAACGATGTAACCATTATGCCATGTGCTTGACTTAGTTTTTCTATAAGCCAGATACTGTACGAAGTATGAGGAGTATAGTTTGTTCAAAACTCCCCCCAAAGATGGGACCAGCAGTTAGTGCAATGACTATGTCGCTGGACTACCATGTAGTCAACTGTGGTTTGAATACCAGACCGTGGTTCGAGTCCCGGACCTGGCAGCTTAAACTCATGACGGGCGCATGTGTGTGCATGCCCAGGATCTCGAGAGGAGAATGGAGGAGAAGGGATTGCGGCGTGGCCATCCCCCTGGGGGTGATTTTTCACTTTCTGTCTCTCTGTCTCTCTCTTTCTGGCGAGCACATGCACTCTATAGCAAAGACTTCTCCAGAGAAAAAGAAGAAAAAAATCCCCCCAAATAGTATTCTTTCTTCAAAGGTTATCATTTACCTAAGACACAAGCATTACATTTACAACTGGAGTAAATACACTGAAAGAAATCTGAACGTTTCTGTTGAAACTGTAGTAGGAGAAATGGCATTTAAAGAGTCTGAAAGCCTAAATGGCAGTTGCTCTGGTTAGTGGGGAGGAGCATCTAGGCAGAGAGAAGAGCAAGTTAAGTGCCCTGAGTCAGGCAAGAGCATGAAGCATCTAAAGAGATGGGGAGCAGAACTGGAGTGTAGAGAAAGGCACACAGATCGGTCAGAGCTAAGGCTGCAGAGGTAGGCAGGGGAGGTGGCATTATGTACATTAATTATAAAAATAATATAGTGAAATAATTTAAGGACACTTATCAAGGAGTCAGTGTTGATGATGGCACTCCTGATTCTTTTGCCACATCAGATTTTCCCAATACTGTCTTGAAGTTTATTTATTATTGGTCTTTTGACAAACTATGATTGTTGATCCTTACCAACTGAGGGTAGTCTGTGCTTTAATCTCGGGTTTCTTTAAGTTCTACTGAGAATACAGACCTTGTCAATGAGAAGCTAATTCTCTTCCTTAGTCATTTCTAATTCATTCTTGTGTTTTGCAGCTAGGAGTTAGATAAGGAGATCATGAGCTCCCGCCAGTGACCATGGATGATGGGCATACCTGTAGGCCAGCAGCAAGTGATAAGGTGGATGCTAGACATCGTAGGCTGCAACTTCCCACCGTTCTGGACATGACATGGCATGAAGCCAATAGCGTTACTCATCTTATTGAAATACATTCCAGCTTCCTTCTGTTAACATAAGCATAATGTTTCAGTTCAAATGATTTTCTTTCCAGAGTGGTTCTAATATAATCTATATGTTCTTGGTTTCTGTCTTCTTGATCTTTTAAAAATTGATGTGCTTTTTCTATTTTGGTTTCACTTTCACTGTATTTTAATCTGCTTCTTCAGTCATTTTTTGTTATATGCTGGCGGACAATGTTTTTGGAATTCATAACCCATCAGTGTTATGATCCACCATCTGTCTCAAAAAACAGAGAACCCATTTACATGGTTATTTAGACTTGGAGGTTTGTGCAGTTTTATTATCTGTGATCAAGTCATTTGTATGATGGAAAAGAGTTTGTCTTTGACAGTTTTCTGATTCTTGTAGAAAATTAAACTTGGATGTTGAACATAAAGGTTTTTCTCCCCCACCAGTTAAAAGAAATAAAATTCAAAAGAGGAATAAGACTTTCTTTGATACTCAACTTCTACAGTTTGTGAAAATATCAAGTGTGTTTAGATAAATTATAGGTATTCAAGTATTTTTTTTTCTTGAGAAGAGAATTTAGGACTAAGTAACAATTATTTATATCATGAACTAAGAGGCATATGTAAGAGCTTATTATTCTTTATACTGTCTGTATTTATTAATATAGATTTTATCGAAATTAATCCTTTAGGTTATATGGTGAGTTTTTTTTTTTTCACAAAAA